ACACACACACACACACACACACACACACACAATAGCTGAAGACGTGTGGAGTTCCAAGCTTTTAACTGCATGATGTTATAATTTTAATATATCAACAATGTTTGAATTGATCCATGCACCCCTACCTCAATGATGTAAATAAAATGTGACATGACTATTCAGACTGAGATCACTGAAAAAAACATTAACACACATGAAAAGACCTGAGTCCAATTTGAAAAAACTAAAATCTGTTCTCTAACACTTAGACTGTCTTAAAAACATTGAATATGGGCCACATATTTTTACCTGCTATCTGAAACAAGCCTTAGAGGTGAATCAGTTAAATTAATAATTAAAAATAATGATAATTCATCTCATAAACATAGGCTTATGGTAATTGCAGTGGTGTCAGTTGAAACTCATTCTGATGCTATGCATGGTTTCCACAATGAAGTACAGAAAAATGTACCAAATGTCTGCAGTAAATGCAGTTCTTCAACACATTAGCCACTGAAAATGTACTCTACTTGGCAGGACGCACATGTGACAAGATTCAAATATTCAGTCAGGAACTGGTGCTTGTGGAAAGTCTAGAGATTCACAAATGCAGCATATGTAACTAATTCAACTGAGGAGTGTGTTTAAATGGCCTCAGATTGTAATGTTTGGATAAAACAGCATTCATTTGCATCAGCACATACCACTGAATGTAGGAGTGAACCCTCTCCAGTCTTTTATAGTCGTTTTTCCATTCTTTAAGAAATGATTCGATGTAGACATCTGTGCCAAATAAGGGGAAAAAAACAGTTACAACAAACCCAACTATCCCAAGAACAGAAGGTATCTTAAATAAATGTTCATTCATTACCATCAGGAGCAGACGGAAACTTGTTTAGGTAAAATTGTAAGTTATTCATTTTATCCTCCGAGCACTCCTCATCTGCTAAATTCTGTAAAAAAAATATATATATACAAAGCCAGCAATAATAAATCTACAGTGTCTATTTAATTAGGTTGTTAGTGGGTGTGTATGTGTTTAGGTGGGACCTACAGGATAGCCTCTTCTGTAGTTCTGCATGTCCTTTGCTGCCCTCATGTTTCTGGGCGCATGATGCCACTGTAAAGAAAAGGTCATAAACGTGAACCAAATTCTTTCCAGGAATAATGAAGCATTGCTATATACTGATAAAAAAAAGTCATGGTTCGTTCATTATAATGAAACAACCCTTATTATTTCTCTACTAACACCGGGAAGCTGGCTCTCTTCTGCAAACTGACGCATAACGCCGGGTTTAATTAATTTACAATCACAAAGAGAAACAGTTAACTGAATAAAAGCTAACTTTTATTTAATTAATTATAAATTATGACTGCTCACGTCGTAACGCCAAATGTAAAAAAAAAAAAAAGTAAGCTAACGCCATTGGCTAGCTGGGCTAGTTAGCAGGGTCTGCAGCAGCAGTGGACAGAAAGCTAATATTAGCTTCGCACTAAACAGCATATTAAAGCAATGAGTTAGTAGGCCTGAGAATATCGTTGCATGTTATAGTTTAGTTGACTAACAAAAACGTACGTACTATAGCCCACGATGACTTATTTTTGTCCTGACTTGACCGACGGGTCTGGCTCTCTCCGGCCGGGTCGTCACCATCACTCTCTGTGTCCCAAGTCGAGTCGTAGTCACATACACAGTCGTCTTCCATTATTAGATTGAAGGTATTTCCACGGCTCACTAAAGCTAAATAAATGCGCGGCCAGAGTAGGTAATAAAAAAGGGATAAATGAGGTTACACTTTCATTTTCTAATTTGGGTAAGGACGGCCCTGACCTGACCATCCGTCTTCCCAGTCTACCATGATCATCAGGCAGCAGCAGCAGATCCGCTTTGCTAGCCGCTGCAGCACCGATGCTGCCTTCAGGAGCTCTCGTTGATTTAAGAGTAGAACTCAACTCTTTGGGTTTACAGCTTCAAATAAATGTCATAAGTTCACATTTGGAGATCTTTTTCAATTAATATAAAGATATATCTTCTCATGTCAATTTTATACACCTAAAATAAATAAATAAATAAATAAACTCCGCTGCGGTGTAATTTGTTGCGTTGATGTTTTTTCATCTGTTCTATCTCCGAAACAGCAATTTCCGATTGCGTTTGAACGCAACACACAGGCTGTGTTGGCTGCAGGTGGTAAAGTGCAACACAGCTGAGTCAGGCAGCTTTTATTAGCAACAACAGAAAATAAAACTCTTCACCATACTGTTACATAAAACGGCAAAGCCACATTTCTATGACAAATGACCAAACTTACCTAACAATTAAATAAAAAAGAGACAGCCATACAAGGTACACATAATGTAAAAAAAAAAAAGCTTACTGCAGTAGGAGTAATATTACACGTGATGTGAAATAAGCGAATATCTGAACAAAACGTGCTTGTGCTGAGGTGGGGGCTGCAACAGGTTTCCATGTAGCTGAAACTTTGTTTTAAATGTCACAGTAAAACCTGCTTGTTCATCAGTATTTAATTATTGATTCCTGCTCAGATTTTACAAGAAAAATATTGATTCATAATTTATGCCACTCTTTGTAAAAGTCATAAGAACAAGAAGTGCAATACAAGATATAAAAAAGCCCTAGCATGAAAACACAAACAAACAAACAAACAAGCAAACAAGCAAACAAACAAACAAACAAACAAACAAACAAACAAACAAACAAACAAACAAACAAACAAACAAACAAACAAACAAACAAACAAACAAATAAATNCAAACAAACAAACAAACAAACAAACAAACAAACAAACAAACAAACAAACAAACAAACAAACAAACAAACAAACAAACAAATAAATAATCAAACGATCCTTTCCATTTTGCCCTAAACAAATATTTCGCTACTAATTATTACTTTGTAATTAATGTGTTTTTTAAAACACAATCTGTAATTTTAAAAATGCTTTTTGAAAAACACAATGACGCAATAAAGAAGTAGGGTTCTAGCAATCAGCCATTGTTTTTGTTTCTATCAGTTCATCTTTTAACTGAGCTACATTTTGTGGCCCTTCCTGTAATTTGTTACCAGCTGGCCTCAGCAGCATGAGAACACTGTGCTGTAACAGAGCAAAGAGGAATAAAAAGGCTAATTCTTCCTCCAGGATGATGTGCGACCTAAAACATCTCATCCAAGACAATTTATTGAACTGATAAGGACACCCAATGAAATTTTTAGGCTATGTATTTTCCATACCTTTGCAGAAATGTTGGGTGTTCATGGTTGCAAAGTTACTTGAAAAATATAATCCTTTTAGGTTTGTGGAATAAATTGGTTTGCTGACTGTGTAAATGCTAGCCTGCTGTGATAAGTGCTGAACATTTCATATTCTGGTGGACATTAGATAAGTCTGATGGGATCGTTATTTTTAAACCCATCAGAAGTGACTACATTTGTGCATAAATCTGACGTTATGTAACCTTTTTCAGACTGAAGAATTTGGCTGTCTCCAGGGGCGTGGCCAGAGGGCACCTGATTGGCCACCCCACCAAATGATTGACAAGTGGGGGTGGGGAAGGTAATTGGCAATAAAAGATGGTCAGTTAGAGCTAAAACAAAGTAAATACCTGTTATGCAGCTGTGTTATCTAGTGTAGAGGGAACCTGTCAATGTGTGAAAATAAAAATAGAGATTTTTCTAAACCAGCGAATTAATACAGAAATCCACCACACCCAATTTCAGCTCAAAAATAGCCAAATTGTAGCTATTTGAATTTAGCTTTGGTGGACAACTTGGATTAGTTAAAATTGACTTTAGAGTCTGTTAGATATTGCTTTCAGCTACCAACACACTAAATTTCTGCTTAATATCTCTAAAAACTAAAAATTGGGATTTCAAAATGACATGGTGATTGCTCTTGGCCACCTTACCAAATTTTAGCTCAGTATTTCTAAAAAATGGCTGATGTCCAACTATTTCAATTCGCTTTGGTGACCATCTTGGGTTTTGTATTTACGTTCAGATTTTGTTAAAGGTTATTCTTGGCTACTACTATTTTCAAGTGTGTATTTAATGGCTCAATTATAGCCCTTTGTAAAATTAGCATTAGCTTAAATTGGGACTAGCGATCATGTTTGGCTACACCACAACAAATTTGAGCTCAGTTAGTCTTATGCTACGTTCACACCAAACACGTTTTGAGCTGCAGGAGTGGTCGGTTCACATGCAAAGTCTATGGTGGATGCACGTCTAGGGGTCTCGCTGCGCGTCTAGGTAGTTTAGCTCGGTGAGCAAGGAAGCGCTAGGTGCGCTTTAGCATTTTCCGTTCATGTGTCCAAAGCAGCCGACGCTCCAGTTCAAAAATCTGAACTTTTGTTGCTCGACGTGCCGCGTCAACCAATCAGAGACTCGTTTTTCCACGTGACGGTTTCCTGAAAGTTGCCCACTAAACTGAAACAGATGCACAGGAGCTCTTTAGCTGAAATCGACCGTCTGCAGTTGGTGTTCTGGCAGGAGATATCAGCACTGATGTTGGTCAGTGGCTCATTAAACTGGCCGCGGTGTTAAACTGAGCTCGGGACACAAACATAGTTTGTCAGCTCGCAGCTCCTGGAGTGGTGAAACTCACCAAACAGACCGCCTCTAAATTATCTGGTGAATAATTATCTGGTGTGCGCGACGTTCGCATGCTCTTAGTAAATAAAGCAAAGCCATTTTCTTTATTTTATCTTTATTTCTTCTGCCAGACAGATTGGAAAAAAAACCAAGACGCTCCTCCCATTCAGGCGCGTCTAGTCTCTGTCCCGGTCTGAACGTAACGTGTCCAACTTGAGGCATTGGGCACATTTTAGATGCTCAAAACACATTCGCTGTGAATGTAGCATTAAAACGGCTAAATTATAACCATTTAAATTTGGTTGTGGTGGCCATCTTAAATTTTCAAATCCAGGGTAGTTTTCTTAATTTGTATCTTCCCCCCCTGGATAACACCTTGGCCACCCCTGCACCACCATTTGCAAAAACGTCCAGCACTGGTTGTCTCCAAAAAATAATCAGTTGTAGATGTACACCAAATAATTATTTTCTGAAACATTCAATGTGAGGTTATTTGACAGTGTTGACTTTAATAGTCCATGACGACGTTTAAAAGGCAGCATTGATCTGTTAGCGTTTAGCCTATGTTTTCTGATCAATTCTCGCCTACTACACCAAGTCTGAGCTCAATATCTGTAAAACCAAATGAGTTATCGTTGTTTTGTTTGCTAAAATTGCTTAGCTGAGGCGGCCATTTTGAATGGGATTGACTCCAAAATGTAATCAGTCTTAAATGTCCACCCAGTGATTACTTTATGAGGGTTTCATTCAAATATGTGAACTGGTTCATTGGATATTTTGCTAACAGACAAACAAATGTAGATATGGGCAGAACATCATCACTGTTTCACTTTTAAATAAAATAAAAATAAGTTAATTATTCAGGTTCTGCTGTGTCTTGGATACATGAGTAAAATGTTTTTGTCGATAAACATCTGAAGAATGAACAAAACAACAACATTTGTTTTGTTCATAGTTTGTACAGTGAAACAACAAGTCTGGTCAGTTTCCATTTTCCAAATGAGACTAACCTCATGTCAGCATGAACACAATTCACACACAAACACACCTTTCTTAAATTATCACCACATCTGGTTCCAGTGATGTTCGCGGTCCTTTAAGTCGTTTTCCTGTTTGATGTTTTAAGGACCAGCAGCAGAAACTGGATATCAAAGGTGGCAACCGATAATTGGACCGTGTTATTCATTTTTTGACAGTAATTGGGCTGATGCACTTATACACAGGCTCATTTCACCATTAGATGGTATAAATAGAACCATGTGTTTTCGTGGAGTGGAGAAGATGCTGGGGTGGCTTACTATTTTTGTACGTAGTTACTGTGGTAACCGGTGGGCTCTGCAGGCATCCAGGCTTTACTGTTATTTTGTGCTTCAGCTTCAAAAAAATCCCCGTCCTTTTCTCCTGCGAGTTTAGATGAAAACAATTGTTTTCAGCGCAGAAGCAGATTATTTAGTTGTCTGCAATTTCTCTTTCATTGATTTGAAAATGTTGGATAAACCTCTACATCTGTTTAGTTCAGCTTTTAGTTTCCCACCTTTCTCAGGAAGTATTAAAAAGTATTTTTTTGTTGCCAAAATTAGAGACGGCAGATCCCAGGTCACTAAAGCTGGGATGATGCCCTACAAAAGACTGAGGTAACATGACCAAACGACAGCTGTTTATTAATACAAACACAGAAACACTGAATGTTTCATTAGCACTGCTAAAAGGCTAAATGTGAACAATAATGTTTTCTCCATGTCTGTATCTGTCTGTTAGCAAAATATCCTCTGAACCAAAAGACAAACTTTTACGAAACTCGCAGGATGTAGTCCCTGGATGTACAGCTACAGCTGATTCTCTTTTGGAATTAATTCGATTCAAGATGGCTGCCACAACCCACTGAACTTAGAGAATATAAAGATGTGTACTACTAAATCAGTTTTACAGACATTAAGCAAAAACTCGGTTTGTAAGAAGCTGACTGTCGATCCCGTCACAAACTCAGAGTGATAACAGATTATGTGAGATCCTCATTTAAAACTGAAATCATGCAGCAGGTGAGAAGTGATCCTGGGGTTCTATTAAATATCATTAATTTAAATATACTTGAGTTATGTTTCATATTTCCATTTTTAAGTGATCATCTTATGGGATAAAGATGCTGCTGAATGAACCTCTAAAAATAACAGCCATCTTATTACCATCTCTTTATTATTTGGTCATGTTTAAGCACTATTATACTGTACTATGTTTTAAATCACAGTACTGTGTTTTTAAAG